GCACCGCAATTTATGACTCTCCAACACAAAGCGCTGGGCGTAATTAAGCGAACGTGAAACGGCAAATTAATCTGTTATGAAATTACTGCCGCGACACGACCACATTATAATGTTATCATTTATTGCTCCGTGTGAACGTGCGCCGTCGTGTGTGTGTGTGTGTGTGCTCTTATCTTATTTGATAGGGATACAAAAAAAACAGAGCTTGAACAATCGCTCATTAACCCTTTAAATGAACTGCAGCCTGTTGATGGAGGAGGACCTCTCTTAGGGTTCACTTCGCTTTGAAGGGACAATGTGGTTTATGCACACTCCTCTCGGGAACTTTCTGGAGCAGGGCTGGTCGGTAGCACCACAAAGCAGCTAATGGTTCAAGGTTCAAGGGGGGGGGAGAATTGTCTTCAGAACTTCAGATGTCTCCATCATGTCCATAGACTCTATAAAAGGATGGATGACATGACCGTTTCCTTAAAGTGAAGCTGAAACATTTAGCGCTTCCTCCTACTGCCTGGCTGCAGTACAGGTCATAAACTCCGCCTCCTCCATGTTAACAGATGGGACATGGGTCAAACTATAAAATCTCTCTCTCTCTCTCTCTCTCAAGGTTTCTATAATTAAAACAACTTCTTCTTTGTGCTGATTTATGCCCAAGTCTTCATTTTCCTGAGACATTTTTTGATGCTATATATAAAAAGGTAATGCTTTGATTGACAGCTCTGTTGAGCAATGAGGCTCCTGTCACACTGTGTGCACCGGATTAGCAGAGAAGAGGAGGAACAGCAGGGGAAACATAACAAACACAAATACAAGAGGCAATGAACTTTTCATGACTGTGAGTGTCTGCTTCAAACTGACACAAAAATCTTTGAAGATAACTCCTCCGGGTGAGATATCAGATGCACAGGAAGTGGACGGACTAACGTGCAGACAGAGAAGAACAGGAAAAAAAAAACTAAACCTTTAAGTCTCTCCTCTTGGATTAAAAAATATATTTTATGGCAATCTTAATTCCTTTATGGGGGGGAAGTTGCTGAGGTCTGTGTGTTTAAAGTTCATATTTGATAAACAAATGCCAAAATACAAGGGTTGGTCATGAGCTTATCACACCTCTGATTTAACCACGAGCATGTGTCACTTCAGCTGCCAAATAATTTGAATAAATACACACAACAAATACAGGTCTCTTCATGCAGAGTCTGCGGTCAGGAGATTTATTCAAATGAAGTTTAGTCTTCATGGAGCCAAGTTAAGATTCTGGTCCTGAATGCTCTGGATTTGTTTGGACCAGAGAAGGTAGGCGGTTTTAATGCACTCCCACACGGCCGTTTTGGACGCCCCTCGGTTTGCCAGATATGAGAGCAGTTATCAGGTCAACAGGTGTTGCAGCGATGGAAGCGGGCAACAGAAGTGGTTCAGATAGAAGTGATTGTACCCGACCTAAAAAGCCTCTGCATGTTTCTAATAAGCTCCACGAGCAGAAACGTGCTCAAACGAGGATCAATATTGGAGATGCTTTTGAAAAATGGAGAGAGGTTAGAACACAGAAAGGTTTACAGACCCATGCAGAGCTGGCTAAACACTGAAGCTTCAGTGTCCACCACATGGTGACCTGAGTGAGCATCGGCTGTAGAGAGGAGGGGCCGGGGGGAGACAGCTCTCTACAATGTTTTGAATGTGACTGCAGTTCCCATTTTAAACACTAGGTGTCGGAGTTACATATTGCTCCTTTAAAATCTAAAATCTGCTTTTGTTATTGATAAATCTGGTGAAATATTGCAGCACAACAAGTTGCAATTTCCTCAATATCACTTTATGAGTAGTCACGTCAATGCTTTCTTGCTAAGCATGCCTAATTTCACCTGTTGCATGGATTGCATATTTTTCTGAAATCCTGCAGGCCAATGATGAAACACTTTGCCTTTAAACCAAGAAATGAAAGACTGTTTGGAAGCTCCGTTTAATGTTCAAACTGACTCTAAGGTTCGGTGAGAATTATCTTCATAGCTTGTCGTAAACATGCATCTTGTCCATGACTGAGGCAGAGGGGTCTGTGCAGTGTTTCTGGGTAGTAATGTAGAGCTGTACGAGTGAAACCATGTGTGCGTCTGCCAGAGCACACAATGTACATATGCTGCTGGTATTCGCATGTCACATAAGGGGACTGTTAGAGCGAGAGTGTGTGTGATAGACGTGAGCCAGTAGAGCTATCCTGCAAAGGGCCCCCTTAGCTGTGCCGGCAAACAGGAAACTGCCGTGCATTCTCACAGTTTCACATGGCTCCGTCTGTTTCTCCTGCTCTCGGCTTTCATGCTTTATTTTCTAGACCTCCCAAACAACCGAAGGCGTTATGTTCGAGCAGACGCCTCCCTGCACTTTGCACAAATGTAACCAAAAACAATTCAGCCAATCTCTTCCCTTATAAACAACCATCTTCTTCTGCTGCTTTCCCTCCTGCTGGTCCCTGGGTGGGCCTCTCTGCTAGACCAGACAGGAGGTGGTATACTGTTACTATGGTGCTGGGGGTCTTCCTGGAGATCTCCTGTGTTTTATCAGCCTCCGCGCTAGCCATGTTCTCCTAATTAGCTCCCAGTGTACCCTGCATTAGTACCAGGGACAAGCTGCTTCTTTCACTTGATTAGTCAACTGTCAATTCATCGTTTACTTGATATTTTTTAAGTGAATGAGACAATAATCTGCAGCTTTAAACATGTAAACTAATCTTGATAAATATTATTTGATATGAATGGATCTCTGAAATAATAACACTTATACTTCTTAGATTAAATCAGTGAAATCACCTGATGCCCTCCTTTAATGTAGCTCTATTGTGTCTGCTTTTATTATGTACATGTTTAAAAATGTTTAATGTAGGGTTGCAAAAATCAAACCATATATATTACTATACCAAAGCCCCCAGTATTTAAACATTTCTTCTTTGTTACCAAAAAGTTGCAGGCAAACTTCTGCCCATGCAACATAATCATTCCTCTCCTACACACCTGTCTCCTGAGAATATGTATTTCCTTAAAGCTTTGATACTCTTTGATACCATTGATCAATAAATGATGCAGATTGTACCACCTCAAAACATGTGTTAAGGAAAAGTATCGAAACATATTGATAACTAAAGTTTAGTGTTGATGTTTTTAAAGTGTGCCACCTTGTGTTAAGTTTGACCCTGTGTTTTTAAAAGCATATATTTACACCCACACAAGTAAATCACATTCTTCCCTTTTGCAAGCCAAACGTGGACAACACAAGTTTTTTCTTTTCTGTTCTACTCTTAGATATGAATCTAATAATCCTACAGAAAAACACAAGTTGCATCTGAAGGCATCCAAGAAAGTACGATGCTATAAAAAGTCAAACTGACACTGAAAGCAGGAAGATCAGAGTTAAATTGTGTCATAGCGCGTTGCTGTTCTGAGCAGCAGCCAAGAAAACACTTGTGCATATTGGAGCTGGTTTGAAATGGGGAGAAAGGCGTACTATATATAGGTCAATTTGTGGATGCTGGGAGACAACAACCAAGTCGGGGATAAGAGACAAAGAGAATGCTAACACAGCTAACCTAGATCACATTCATTAGCGCTGCAAACGGGTAGGCACTGAGTGTGACTCAGACCGGAGGAATAAGGAGTAGGAGTGGGGGGGGGGGCACCTCAGTGACATTACAGCCTCATTAACTCATCCTGCAGGGAGAGAGTGGGAGGTCAAGGCGCTGACCCTCAACGATTCCAGCGCTCACAATCGTATGCGCCCACAGGAGGATAAAACACGTCCCCCCTCTTTACTGATCCGAACAAAAAAGTAGCCACCAAAACCTGCACAAACACATTTGTCTGAACACAGCTTAAGGCACTCAAACACAAAGACACTCACGCAGTAATTAGGTGTGTAGTCTCTGGCTGCTATTAAGGCCACGCTGCCAAAGTCTAGCAGAAGTTCTAATCAGATTTCGCCCCTGCCCGTCCCTTGTGAGGCATTAAGTCCCTCACCCATCTGCCTTCTTATCTCGGATGGGAGAAATCTGCTCCTGGGCTAACCGACAGTCCGACACCGCCTCATCATTAAGAGCTTCGGCTTCAGCAGAAACAGTGAGTGACAGTTAAAATGTTTGCAAAATCTCCTCTCAGACAAATTTCTTTCTTTTGTTTTTCTCTTTCTTTGCCTTTTCTTCTGAGATTTCTGCTCACCTCTACCCTCCTAGGTACGCCCCGAGGAGCCCGTAGAGAGTCCACAGCACCAGCTGCACCATCCCCGTGCTCCTTATTAGTCCTGTCTGAGCAATATGGCCTCCATTTTTGGCTCAGGTAAGTTGGACCACCTGGCTGATTGGGCTAAAGATGTTTTATGATAATAAAAGCTAATGCTTCTTATCCAAATGTCTCCGCAGAGAACAGCGGGCAAAAAGTAATCGTCTTCATGAGTTAGCCGTCTAATTAATTGATACACAATTTCCACACTCTCCCTTCTGATGGGTTGTCATGACAACAGAATTCTAAACTTCAATATGAAATCTGTTCAAATTCAACTAAATTGATACTTGTCCCGATATCACAACAACAAATTCAAGTCGTAGGCCTCCAGTATCAGGTACTTGGAGGGTGCTTTCTTTTTAATGATGATGAAAAGTAGCAGGTAAACTCCTGCTCACAGTCTAAATTGCACAAATATTTTGCAGATGTTGCTGCGCTGACATGTCGCCAAATGTTGGTATCATTAGCATCTTAAGTGTTTAACATTTTGACAACCTTATCCTACTGTCTGAGGCATTAAATCATAAACTCATATCAAGGTTCATGACAGATGGCTCCGCCTAAACCTTGAAATATTGTTGTTTGTGTGCAGAATGTTGTAACACAAGGCAAAGGAATATTCTCCTCTGCATGCAAATAAAAAAACTGAACTGAAGAACTGAACTTTGAATTGTACCTTTTCTCTAGTTGATGCCAGAATTAACAGAATAAATAAGTTTAATAAAGTTAACAACAACTCACCTTTGGTTATCTGTTCTGTGGCCTGGAAAAAGCAAAAAAAAAAAAAAAAAACATGTCAGCAAATGTTGGTCTAAATGTTAATGCTCCACAAACATCTGAGTCCCATTGGCTGGATCAGCAGCTGCTCTGCAGTGCTGGAGCAACTATCCAGGGCAGTCAGGACAAAATGTTCAGAGGCTGCTTTTGCTCATCTATTGAAATGCTAAGAGGTTCATGTACATTCCCATTGCTGGATGAGGTGAATGGGTTCATGGGTGGGAGGTGAAAATAGATAAAACAAATGCTCCTCTCATACGGTAAGGATTCTTTACCAGCACAGAATGGTGACTTCAAGGACGTGTATGTTTTAGAGAGAGCAGCAGGCTGACCTTTTAACACCTGAGCATACATACATACATAAGATCGACCGAGGAAATCAAAGTGGAAACTGTAATTTTTTTTTTACTGCCGAACTACTCGTAAACATTTTAATCCAGAACATAAACCCCACTGGTATATAAGATGCATTCTGGGGAAATAGCATAGACTGTAAATCTTAATGGACAAAGCCTGAGTGACGTCAGCCATCTGTTACAGCAGAGGGGTCTGGAGGATCATAGGCAGCAGCCACCATGCTGGAAATGCTGTCTCAGTCTAACTTTCAGTCAACCTAACAACAGGCAATTCATCCCCAGTACAGTGTGTGCCCATGTGGACAATACCAAATCAGACCTATATCGTCCTTTGTACCAGGCTGTAAACATGTTGATTGATGGTGTAAAAACAGCTTTCTTCAATGGGGTGTCTATGTGACTTCCATGTCACTCAACAAATTGCAGGATGTTGGACTTCTGCATTGGCTTCATTTTACAACACTGAAGGTTGCTGCTTAGAAAAAAGGTATAAATTGCCTTCCTGTGTGACGATGTCTATTGCATTCAACAAAATCCAAGACGTGCAGTTTCTGTGCAGCTAGATAGCATTTTGCCAGCTACAGGTACGACATAGTTCTGATCCTACAGTAAGGATGGACCCACAGCCTGTGATAAATTGGCCTGGAGTTGTGCTACCGACCTCCGCTGCTCACTTATTGTCTTTATAATTGAGGCGTCTTTTAAATCAATCCCCCACTTCACGAGGTTTGTGAACTGTATGTGCAGTGATGATGGTGGCTGCACTTGCACAGCCATGACGGCACATGTCTCAGTATCTGGTAAACTGCTCACAAATATATATTAGGCAGCCCACATAATAGATGAAAAAACAAGTATTAAAAATGCGTCCTTTACACCGGCTTTACGGTCAATAGAAGTCATTCTTGATTCAAGCTAAAATATGAGTGTGTGTGTTCGTCAAATGAGCGTACCTTTTTCTGAGCACCTTCTTTCTTTTTCTTCTCGTCTTGCTTTTTCTTTTTCTTATCTTCCATCAAATGGTTCTCTTCTCGTGTTTTTTTGCTTCTTCTCACAGCTGAAATACAAAAACAGAGAGAGAGAGAGAGAGAGAGAGAGAGAGAGACTGCCATGAGGAGAAAGGTTCTGTGCCTGAGCAGGTAAACACCTTCAGTAAAGTGATGTAGTTTTGTTTATTTCGCTGCATTGCTCAGGTGTAGCTGTCTAAGGTGAAATCAGTTTCGTCCATGGCGGCTGTGGTGTCACAAGATCACACAAGATCATGTGTTCAGTAGTAAAACAACCACCAGACAGAAGAATGTGGGTTTGTTTTCCACTCTTGAGCATCACATCTTAACAAATTGTGATGCACGAGGGTGTTTTTTTTTTTGTTTTTTTTTAAAGTCGGTGGTCTTTGGGTTGTCTCTGGAAACTATTAAGGAGGCCTTGCAGATGTAGAGGGGGCCAAAAGGATGAGGACCCCCTGTCTTTAGTCCACAAACCAAGCGAGGGAAATGGACCCAGACACAAGTGATTGGTTGAAAAACCACAGAAATCAATCAAGCTGATAGTCTGGGTTGATGTCTTAATGCACTTTGATAGCTGACATCTTCTCCCCCCCCGGTCCAGAGAGGAAACATTTTCACAACAAACACACAAACCAGCTCCAAAACCACCCGACAATGCCCCATTGTTTAATATCCATGAGTTACTCTTTATCCAATCCTCTACGCAGACAAACAAAAACACAACAGCAAGAACCGGGTCTTTTTATGGACTGAGACGAAGGGAAAATAGCCTGGAAACAAACATAGATTGAAGTAAAGTTTCTTGAACTTTAAATGTGAAATTGTACATAAACCATCAGGGTTTTCCCAAGCTGTGCCAACGCTGCTGCAGGCGATGGCGGTGTGTGCCATAACCAGGCAACAAGCACTCCCAGAAGCCCTGCTTAGCAGTTAGCTGGAGACAGACGGCCCTTCCCTTAAGCACTGCACTGAGATCAGTTTGGTTGTGGAGTTTCAAAAATAGAAATAAAAACAAAAAACAAAGAAGAATCTTTTTTTTTTTTTTTTTTAAATGAAAGAAGAAAAAAAGAGCAAATCAGAGCATTAAATTAAGTTCTTCAGTCTTGAAGTGTTGGGAGCGTGTCGTAAAGAGTTCAAGGTTCAGGAGACGGTTTTGATGATCAGAAATATAAAAACAAAGCCTGTGTGCAGGAGTTTGTAAGCTTTCCAACTTATTCTAAAACAAGAAAGTACCTGTGATGCCTTGGACTTGTACTGTTGTGATTATAGCAAATGTGGATTTTCAGACTGCCGTTTCAAGCCGTGTTATTTACACCCCTGTGATGTTTCACCTTCAATCTGAATGTCGCAAAGGCGTAATGGGGGGGCAAAGTGATTCCCCCCTCTGTACCGTTTTCAGAGGTAGTAACAGAGGCGTTACAGAGGTGAGATGGGATCAGCAGAGTCAGCGAGGGAGCACAGCGCTGTGTGTGTGTATGTGCATGTCTGACTGTGTGTGTATGTGGAGCTGCCGCTGTGTTGTGTTTCTGCAACGATGAAACGCAACGCAAACTCACAGACTGGGACAAGAACATTTCGCCGTCCCAGGATCAATATGAACGTACAAAGACGTGATGGCTGCTGAGCTGAGTTAGTGCTATTAAGCAGTCTGAAAAGGGCTAATGACGAATGTGAAGTTGCATATTTCCTCCAAGTTACTCCAGTCTAATCTTGCAAAGTGTGCAGCTCTGCTTTAGTGGACTTGATGACAGCAGCTGCTGCCCCCGTCTCCCAGAGGCCACGGCCACCTCCGCTCTCAGACTGAGCGGCTAGCAAACAGGTGTTAACAGATCACCAGGGGCAGCAAGATCCCTCCACTGAAAAAGACCAGAATTCATAATATGTCTCAGCTTTCTCTACCCTCTTCAACATTGTTGTCATACGACGAGAAATTATAAAAAGAATATTCAGAGTTCAGTAAGTCAGAAATAAATCCAGAGCACCTTTAATATCAGACTTTTCATGGAAACCTTTGTAGTCTGCTTTTTTTGAGAAGGTAGCTACAAAACATAAATACCTAAACAAAACTTTAAAAAAAGTTAAAGCTCCAAAAATTCTGATCTATGTCAACAGAGGGAGTTATTTTTGGATAACATTACTCACTTGTACTTGTTCAGCAAATGCCATCAATGCAGGAGCTGAAACAGACTCCTGCAGCACTACAGGCCCTGTGGTTAAAAGAAAGCTGCATGACAAACAGCTGCTTTACAGCTGGATCTTAGTCCAGATTACATGCCTGAGTTTAGGCTGTGGGAATTCACTTTCAACACAAAAAACACACAGTCAATTCACATCATTAACTTCTTTTCACCTCCGAGAGGCTGGAAAGGGAACCTGCTGGTGCAGCTGCCATGCTAAATATAGCTGATGCTGCTCCTTTCAAAGGCATCAGTGGGGCTCATGTCATGTAGGATCAGAGGATAAGAGAGATGCTCCAGTTAATGTGAGCTGCTGTCGGCCTCCAAACGCCGATGACGAAAGTGAGCGCCGATCAAAGTGTCAAAATGATTTCAGTTTAAGAAACATTCAGTCCCCGAGCTGGACAGAAAGAGTCTCCCTCAGTGAGAGCTGCTGGTTCATCTCCAAACATCTGTCTGGCCTGGACAGATGTGCTTCCCCTGGACTCTCGAGCTGAATGACAGTGAGAGCGGGAGGATGAGGTGATGCTATCTCTTGCCCATCTGAGTGTACGCTCTGCTATTGGAGGTATGGACTCCTTCTGATGAGGACAATAATAATGCTTTGATAAAATCAATGCTATAATGAATTCAGTCACACAGGAGGCAAGAGTGCAATCGTTCATTTGTTTATTGACTCATAGTGGGCTGAGCTCCATCACGAGCAGCCTTTTGCAGCCCGGGAAAGCACATCTCGTGCCGATATGAAGGACGTAGGTCAATGAGCTCAGCTCTGTTGTGGAATTACACCCTCCTGTCAGAACAACAGGATTAGAGGCTGGTGTCCCTCTTAAAACCATGCACTACACTCTGCCGACAAAGGGAGGGAAACAAGGAAAAACCAAAAAACACAGTCGAACCGGAAAGAGACCAAGGACAGACTAATAAAAGCAGGTGTAAAAATGTTTAGAAAATCGAGCAGCGATGGGAGAGGGAGGAGAGCTCGAGTGTGCAAGGTGAATTGTGTTTATGCAAATGTGGAGCTGCCCCACATTGGAGTGAGGAAGACGAGGGGGCTACGGCGGATGGGTTTGGTTTGTGTGTGTATGAGAGAGAGATTGGGGGAAGGGGTGCTAGACGGCAGTCGCTGGGCACAGAGCCAGGAATGCCATCGCTGCAAGCCAAACAAGAGCACGGCGAGCCCTTGGGAGAGCGCTCGCTAGCAAGCACAGCAGCAGCAGCCGCCACAGCTACACGGCAGAGTGTGCAGATCCCCCTCCGCCTCCTGCGCAGACGCACTTTAGGAGCAACACAACCTCTGAAAAATAGAATATTGTTCAGCAGGTTTTCAAATGCAACAACAAAACAGAAAGAACCAAGTCGGTCCGTCTACCTTTGTAATCGCACGAGGGTTTAAAAACTGCTGGGTAAGCACAAACAGAGTCCTTGTGCTCTGCAAAGAGGATTGCACTCTGTAAAGTACTTGAAGCTATTCTCAGAGTGGTCATGTTAATGTGCTCTGACCCGGCCTGACGACAAGGAAGAGAGAAACTTATACTGCTACACTCCTGGCGCTCTGAACCGGCCCCTAAAATAGCTCGCATGGACGTGCTCCAAAAAGCACGGCCCTCCAGTCCAAATGTCTTCTGCTCCCAAAAGTAGGGGGGCACTTTTCATGAACCAGGATGACGATTTATTGGTCCCATCGATCAAAGAAAAACTCTTAAAAAAAAAAAAAAAGTCTTATTAAGCTTCCAGCATGAAGCTTTTTCACTGTTTGCACATTTGTCTTCATGGATCAAAAGAAATGAAGCGTCTTTGAGAAGTCACGGTCTGAACTCGTGCAGAGTTCACATAACTCTGAGCAGCAGCAGAAGACTCTTCATGTCTATGAAACATGAACAGGAATATTCTTTAATGCATTCCACCTACAGATGGTGAATACATCTGACACCTTAATGCTTCTGGTAAGGTTTACAATTCAATACCAAAAGTTTTAAAAAAAGAATACACTCTGTTTTCTTTATGATTGATAGTATAGAAAAGTAAAGTCCAGAA